TAACGCCTAGATTTGCATATCACAAACCGTTTGATTACTTTTGATTGGATAATGCTAATTAGGTTTGGTTTCACACATTACCTGCAAATACGGATCACATTGATTCGATATTTCATTGAATATCATCATTTTTGGGTATGTAAAGGTAATTTTGGACATGAGTGTATTTCTTTATTAAGCAATTTGCTTTTAGTTAATATTTGTTTCACTTTTCCCTTTTAATAATATTTAATTATTCAAAACAACACTATTTCCCTTTGATTGCACAATACATACTAAACTATGCCTAACATATTTTTAACATATAAAGTTTATTTTGAGCAACGTGATTTTTTCGTATGCGCAATGTATTAATGACGTTATCTCCGCGTTCGGCAAGAGTTTACTGTATGTATATATAGAGTGTCCCATAAGTCTGTAAATATTTTAAAAATTCATAAATCTGAAGGAACTGATAAAATTGAACTCGGCTTGCGTAAAAGTAATTCTCGTAAAGGGCGATATTTTTTGGGCATGAAAAAAAATACTTAAACTTTTCGTCAATAGATGGCGCTGTACGCGACCCAATCACATAGCTCAAGAAAAGCTATATTTATTTGAATGCAAATGTCTATAAGCGTATCATTCTTATTGTATGTGTCTGCCATCACCACAAATTGCAGTTTTCAAGCGAGTTACAACACAATTAACTGCAGCATGTAGCATATCCGAATGAAAGCAAGAAATTTCGTGACGGATGGCACCAAACAAGATGAGCTGTTGCGGTACACTCTGGACTTGACATAACCCCAAAATCACAAAACAAGTGGTGTTAAGTCCGTCGAGTGAGGGGGCCACTCATATCTACAGTTACGGCTAATTAATAAATTCTTCAGTGATGCATATGTCGCTTTGTGTGTGTGTATATGTATAAATCCATACTGAATATACATATATTTTTCTAAACCTTAACCTACAGATAATGTAAATCAAATTAGTAACATCAAAATATATATTAAAAGCCTATTAAAGTCGCTAATATTTGCTTACGGATAATGAAGTTTCAACCTATTAATATTTTACAAAATTTTTAACCTGCAAGTTTAGAATTTCAGTTTTCACAAGTCACTCTAAATATTAAATTATGATGCTTCAAAATGTTAAAAATTTACATCTAAATAATTGCAGGCCATTATTTCTACAAGAGTAAGCGTAGTTAGCACGAATCCTATATTTATCCGAAAAGAACAGTATGCTTAAATTAAATTTTTACCATTTCTAATAAAACTGATAAATTTTTAATTTTAAGAATCATCAAAATCTGCAGATTACAAATCCGCAAAAGAAACAACAAATTTTCTATCGGTATTTATGCATCTGTGTTTAAGGTGAAAACCAAAAACCACTTTATCACTTCATCATTGTGTGGACTTCTCTCCAAAAGCATAAATCAGTTCAAATAGCGTTAGAGAGGTATTCGATAAGAAATTTCGTACGGCAAGCTTAAGTGACTATCCTACTTGTTCCTAATTCAAAAGTACCTTTGTATAATGGCATAAAAAGAAGAACTTAACAACATTTTCGTATTTGGCGAATAGTTGGAAAAGAAATGCATCTGCTTCGGCATAAAAACGTCTCTTGGGTCTCTTTCTTACGTTTAATACAACTTTTGGATTGTATAACAAGAAACCTTTGCCATTTCAAACACCGATAAACGGCTTTCACACCAAAAAATAAACAAAAAAATTTCCAAAGTAAATAAACTCGCTCTCCTTTCGGGATGTGTAAGAAAAAGTGCTATACTAAGAAATCACCGTCGAAGAATGTATTCTGCAAAGTTTATGCAATATCGTATGGCGTTCCAAATCGCCGATTCGATTTTTGTATTTCCCGGGGAGTTGGCCTACTTTCGCTGGAAAAAAGAAAAAAAAAGAAACGAAGGGGAGGAAGGGAAACAGGCCACTACTTTGTTGTGTTTCTTCCATTTGAGCTTATTCACGGAAAATGCCATTGGATCGATATCGTTTCACTCTTGCTTCTATCGGTCGCTTCACTGACGTTGCCAACCGGCGAACGGATAAAATCGCTACAGTACTTGTGCTGCCATCTGGGATTTGGATATGAGGATAGCTTCGAAAAATTTCTTTGCGGTAACATTGGAATCCATTGTACGGCTTGCATTACGACTCTGTTGGTGATAGTTATCTATGAAACTTTGTATCAGTGTTTCGAAAAGTATTTCTCATTTATACAAGGTTTGCTAAGATTTTTCTCTTCATAAATTTGAAATAACTTCTATAAAAGTAGAATTGTTTAATGTTTTATTTAAAAATCGGAATATTTACTATCAATACGGTTCTTTTTACTCTTGATTTCTAATCTTGAAAATTGTTTAAAAGTGATTATGAGAACACTGAAACGTAAATACACATTTTTTATGATTTTAACAAACATTTATTTTAATATACATACGTTTCTGTTGATAATACATTTCGCTAAATTTGTATTTTTTATTTTCAACACAGAATTCTTATTCCTGCACAAACGATAAAATTTTATTAGCTTAAAAGGTTTCTTTACCCAAACAATTAGCATCAGTTCTTTGTTTAGAATTTAGATGAGAATTTTTTTCGAGATTAAAAAATAATAAGTTTTCCTTTAATAAGAGTATTTCTCTCTTATATGTTAGGTGAACTTAAAAAAATCAAGCTATAAGTTTTTAACTTTGATAGTTATAAAATTCCGAATTGGTGTTTTTTAATTTTTTTTTTTGCATCATGTATATATGTTATTTACTGTACCACAGCAATTGTCATCCACGTGCCCGAGATAATTGAAATTCTCAAAGGTGTTGCCTTTTTGCATGTTATAATTTGCATTTCAGTTAATTTGTGTTTCAGTTTGAAACTAAACATCGCCTAATGAACTGATTCAAAAGCAATATACGTGTGTTTTAATAATTTGCATCTATTATTGTTTTTATTTTTAATACAAACGTAATTCATATTATTTACAACACATATACCTCATATGATATACAATACATATTTCATAATTTTTATAAGCATTTTGCACTGTCTCAATATGTTGTAAAATATGTTCTTATTACCTTTTTTATGTACTTTAGTACAGAATAATCATGTGTGCGCCATCTGATAACGAGTTTTTAAATGTTTCTTTATAATATTTTTCATAAGCATTGGCTTTTATTATTATAGTATATTTACTTGTTTTAATATCCAAGCTACATTATCTACAGAGCCGCCTAGGTTGGAAAACGATTAGCGACTCCCATTGCACTACTGAAGAACCCGGGCTAGATTCCAGGATAATACCTGGATGTAAATTGCATCTTCCTTCATTGGAGGGAACGCCGCGTAACCGCCGTAATAAAGCGATCGCAGCTTCCTCCTTTAGTAGTGGCCAACGCCTATAATAGCTAATACCCGCCACTGAGAAAGGAAAAAAAAAAAAGAAAGAAACATAATGGGCACATATCAAACCGTTCGTAACAGTAACATAAGAAAATATCGAAATATTTTTTTAGTTTTTTTAAAAAAAGAACATTATAAATATTATGTATAAAATATTCTCAGCCGTTTTCCAAAATATATTTATTCTGTTCTGCTTAAAAATTGATAATTTTTAAAACAGTAAAGAATTAAACTCTATTTTAAGAGTTTAATTATTTTTAACTTGGAAAAACAAATATTTTTAATCCAGTATTATTTATTTATTTTTTTTTAATCTGATCTGGACACCACATGTCTACATTGCTCGGCCTTTTAAATTTTACATATTTTTGCTGCATTTCATTTAAACTTATTCCCTCAAATTTCATTATAAATATATTTCTCATTAAATTAATTCAGGTAGCACTTCGCGGGAAGGCAGAAATACATACAACCCAAAACATTTCATTAAAAGTTGTAAAATATAAAAAATAAAACATCAAATACAGTTAAAACAATTAAACAAAACAATTTTTATAACTAGAAGTTGAGTTTCTAACCAAAAACAAGCAGTTCGGACAGCGGGTAAGAAGGCAAATTTTTCGGCGCACAAAACTGAAAGATTACATTTGGTCCCGCTCGGCAAAAAGACTCTGAAGACTTAATTCACTATTCTGACTCTGAAAGTGATTTAATTCACTATTCTACAAAGAGTTTTCAAATGTAAACAAATAGCGGTTTGGTTAGGCTTAGTGTCACTCGAAGAACTTTTAAATTGTTTATAATTCTATAACTACTGCATGCAGATTAATTAAAGGTATAAAAATCTTAACCATACCATAGAACCATCTTATAGAACATAAGAAAAACACAATTCAATCACTTTTAAAGCAAAAAAGGCGCAATTTACCAACATATAAGAATTTAAAAAAAAAAAAAACTGAGTTCACTAAGGCAGCTAACAGAGTGGGAACATATATATGTAAACACAACTGGTGTTGCCGATTGCAACCCAAAAAGGAGGTGCACAACTGCATATTATAGCAGTCCCATATACAAAGTTTTAATGTTCTGAGGCTACTCATTTTTGTATTATGCGAGATACATACATAGGTATGTACAGACATCACGGAAAAAAAATCTCTTCTGAAACCATTTTAAATTCGTTTTTCAATCCGTTTTGGAAAAATAGTCCTTTATTCTGTTCGTACCTATAGATGTCACGTAAAAAGATCGTTTAAATGGATTCGACCTGTGGAATTGGATATTTTCTTCGAAATACAGATCCCGAAATTTTTCGCTATTAAATTACTTTACTTCGTACAAGGAAGTAATAAAAAATTAATATAAAGTTTGATAAATTTTACTCTTAAAATTGCGCGTTTTTAAGGTTCGTATATGTTAAAAAATAAGTAATAATAAAATATAATAAGAAACTTTATTATTTAAAACTCCTATTTAAATGATTTTCTTGCTGAGCTTTTAAATTTACATTAATATTGAAAATATTTGTATTGAATAGCTATTGATGGTTCTTCTAAAGATTAAAGTAAACTTATTTTCTTACAGATGGTGACAAGGACAAAAAAAGTTTTCGTGGGTGGTCTTTCTGCTCCAACTACACTTGACGACGTTAAAAACTATTTCCAACAGTTTGGTAAGGTAAGTTAAAGAAAAGTTACATAACTTATAAATTATTGAAGTAATTCAATTTGAAATTGATTTTCATTCTGAAATTTCTTACTTTGTGATGGAATAAAGAGAGTTCTGTGAAAAAAAAAATAACCAAGGTGAAATATTTTATAAAATTTTATACTTATTACAATTATGATAACAATTTCAACTATGGATATTTATTTTATGACTTTATAAAATTGTTTACATTAATTTTTTTATTATTTCATTAAAAATATTTTATAGCCGTTACGTAAAATGAAAAATCTCTGATATTTTGATTCGCAGAAACATTTCGTTTTGTTTCTATATCTTACTTATTGTGTATTCTAATTTAGATAATACATCTCTTATTGTTTAGGTTTTTTTAAACTGACTATTTTATCGCGATATTTAATTAATCATGATTTAATGTATTCCATCAGGGTTAACAAACAAATATCCCAAAGCACAGAAATGGTAATGAAATTATGTTTTTAAAAGTAAAATTTCGGAATTAGTTCTTTTCTTTTAAATTATATATTTTTAATTATTTTTATAACTTCTGTACATTATATTGATCTTTATTGGAAAGTCTGCTGTTTTTGATGAATATTTTGTCACGGCAGATGCAATGTGAACTGGATTTGCTGTCTTGGACACGAACAAAAGCAATCAGTAAGATATTAAACGCTTTAAAAACGAGTAGTTAGTTAGTTATCTTTCCACTAGGTAGAGCTCTATCTTGTCACTAGAACATTGGTGTTTCTTTTAGCTACGTAAACATCAGCTTTCCTAAGTAAAGGTGTACTATATAGTGAAAGTGCATGGTACAGTAGATAGTAGAATTATTAAGCTTTCTAATCTCAGATACTTCCTTGTTATGTCCTACCTTTATTCTATTAAGTATACTGAATAATTTACTTTTGTACTTAGTGGCTATTATACTAATAGAAAATAATGTTTTATGAAGTATTATATTTGTAGAAGATTTGTAAAAAACTTGTATATATTTATTATTACAATATGGTTACTTATGTTGTGAACACAACACTAAGGTGATTGATCTTGCATTCGTAATAACAGAAAATATAACGTTATTTATTGAGCTAAATAACAGTTTTATAAATTGTACATAATAATATAAATCAGTTAGTATTATATAAAGTTACAAGAATAATTAATTTAAAATGTACATTTAAACTGAAGGGAAAAGGCTAATGTGAAGCTGTCAAAACTAAATTCGATAGTCTTTTAATCAATGAAAATCTACCAAAATTGTTATTTTAGTCTTTCGCCAATTAATATTACAACACTGAAAAGGCCGTGTATGACTGACTCGATATTTGTGTGATGGAAATACATGTAACGGATTAGCAGTGCAATAGAAATGTAAATCATGTCGTCTATAATTCTTCGTTGAAGTAAAAAAGGAATAAAGTATAGAAATACTAGAATTATGTTTACCAGCCATTCTTGTGCTCAGAGAGATGATTTACGTTATGCCTCATCGAAGAATAAGACAAACGTATTTTCATGTTTCTGACTTTTATAACTAAAGAATAATCTCATGCCAAAATTATGTATTATCTTCCCGACAAATTGTTGTTGCTATTAAACAGAATGCGACCACATTGATAAGAATCGGTATGTGGAGGAAGGACGAATTCAAACAAGTGAGGAATCCCGATAGACTCCCTCACAACACCAGTCGAGAGAAACATGTTGGGCTTATAGCTGTTATGTATCCCAACTGCACATCACAAACCCTAGCTCAGTAATCAGGCGTGCTAGATAACAACGTCACTTTATCTCTGCACACATGGTGTGGCACTATGTGACCCATCACTGAATTTTCTCAAGCGCCCGTTGCTTCGGCTGCCCTCCATAGTCCAACACAGGTGTCTGTGGCTGTAGAGGTGTCTTAACTGTCAGTTACGAACGAATGACAATTAAATCCAGTGTATATCTGTAGCGGTATATTGATTGAGCCATCATGTAGGGGTACCGCTACAAAAGTCTTAGTGAGTTGTATATTATGCATCACTATATTTGGTCCGACATCTGGTCTTATGTAATACTCTCGAATTTTATGCCCACTGCACTGAACATCCACAGTTGTATACTGAACCTAACACAGGCTATGAAGATAAGGGAACACAGTTGTTTCCCTTATCTTCATAGCCTGTGTTAGGTCAAATAAATACAGAACAAGGAGCGATAAGCATAGGGCAGGAAGCTTCGTAAGTATCTCAAATGGATGCTATTTCACTTCTTTTTCCCCGCTTCTCGCCCGTTAACCGGATTTATTGCCTATCGATTACGTTTCATCTATGCTCGAACAATGAATAGGGCATGCAACTATCTACCTTCAGCTGCAGCACGTGAGGTCGGCTGGGAGCAATCCAGTCATTTTGACTAAGTCAATACTTAAGCAGACTCGACTTTTGAGGAAAAGTTAATAGTTTTCACAGTGACTAGAAGCATCGTTTATTCGGTTATAGGTTCAGGCTCAGCAGGGACCATATAGTACTGTCTTATTTGCCTCTTAGTTGATGGAAAGCTACATGATCAGATTTCGAAGGTTGTTTGATTGTTGATCGATGTCTAACTATGTTCTCTTTGTGATGGATGCATTGCCGTTAAACTTTGACTTGTGTGCTTATAACCCAGACTGTGTAAAACACTTAAGTCCCCCTGGGTTTACAAGGGGGTTATGCCTCCTCGAAGCGCCTCTAGAGGCTCGAACGTTTTAACTGTGTAAGGCAGCCTCGAGCTAGCCAGGTCTGCGTGCCCCTTCATCCTAGTGTACTGTAGCAGAAGAACTTTGTCAGCATGTCAAAACCCCATGGACTGCCCTCAAACACGCATCCAGCGTCACTTCCTGTGTTTGCTGGGCCATATAGTAGCAGCAATAATTACAACTCCGGCTGCCTACGCCAAATTAACCATATACTGTTTAAGTCGGACCAAGCTGTAATCGTAATTATTTCTCCTTTACACCATATATTATACGTATTATAAATATAGCTTTGATAGCTTTTGCTTATCATAATGACCAACGAAGCAATTAAACGTCTCTTCTGTTTATCATAATGTAGTATAATTTAATGGCCAACGAAGCAATTAAACGTGTCTTCTAAAAGGGTAATAAGAGTAATTTAATTCGGTTGGTAAAATCTATAAACAGATTTTAAGGAAATAGAAGCAACTTAGTTAAAATGATACGTTTTTTAAAGCCTTTCATCAAAATGATACATTTTTAGAAATTGAGTTAATTTGATTCTTATAAGAATTACGTGAAATTTGAATAAACTTGATGAAAATAAAATGAATTAAGGATTTTACTTAAGTAGAGTGTATATACAGTTAATTAAAGTTCTCTAATATGGGTGATTTTATTTAAATAGATTAGGTAATGAAGTATAAACAGAGCTAAGCAATTTTCAAAAATCATTAAAATATTTAAAACTGTGAGTTATTTCAACACATTTTGAAAAATTGTAAATTTCCAGTCAAGTTGTGAATTAAACTAAGAATTTTAGCAAAGAATTGGAGAATTTTTAATTAAAGTGATTTAAATTATAATCCCACTAAATTTAAAGTAAAATTGCAATTACGTTATAATAACCTAAATGATTAAATTTAACGAACAAATACAAATCAATTCATTCATTATTCAGTTAATTAGGGAACCTGAGCTAAATTAATAGTATTACAACCATAGTAATTTGATTAAGCCCTAAATAACACATCTAGACTATATGATAAGACAAAAAATTATTTTGTAATGAATCTGTCTATAAACAGAAAGTTAGCTTCTCTAAAATATTCGAAATATTCTTCTCGTCACTTTAAACACGAATTCCCAAGAACAAATATCGTGGAACCCAGACTGTCTATTCGAAATTAGCAAAATAATTTCTGATTGATTTCATGCTTTTTCTATCTTCTTTTACACTCATGTCCATAAATTAAGGATAATGCGGAGTCACGCGGAAATCGAAATCTAAAATAAATATATCACCTGTAAAATCACTACACACATCTTCAAGAATCATATGCAAATTTCAGGAACTAACCATATGACACCGATGGTACGTCACAATGACGAGAGTGTGAGAGAGTGATATATAAGGAATACAGGCAAGGAAGTAAAATTGTTCGCAGGCGCTTTATAAGCATTTCAGTGCAATAACCGAATAGTTATGACACAAAGGACGCATTTGGATGATTTTTTACGTGGTAGAATTATCGGCCGTCTTGAATATGGGCTTACTCAACTGGAAGTATCAGACGAACTTGGAATTGCCCAGAGTGTCATCTCCAGGCTTTGGCAACGATTCCAAGGTGATGCTAATGTGAGTAGACGTTACAGCACAGGTCGCCCCAGAGTTACAATGCCGAATGAGGACCGGTATTTGGCAGTTACTGCCAAACGAAACAGGCGGAGCACAGCCTCAGACCTGTCTCGTCAGCTCTCTTCAGCCACTGGTACGACAATTTCAAGGCAGACCATGTACAGACGCTTAAGGCAGATTGGTCTATATGCTCGTAGACCTGCCAGATGCGTTCCAATTACTGCAACTCACTGTCGCCTTCGGTTAGCTTGGAGCAGAAAGCATGCATTGTAGACACCGCAACAGTGGGCTTGTGTGATGTTTTCCGACGAGTCCAGGTTTAGCTTGCAGTCTGATTCTCGCCGGACTTTCATATGGAGAGCTCCAGGTACCCGTTAGCACCAAGAAAACATCATTGAACGACACCGTTACGGTGGTGCAGGAGTGCTCGTTTGGGGTGGAATTATTCTGGGTTCCAGAACTGACCTGCATGTTCAAATTGGAATTATGACAAGCCAAATCTATCTGGACGTCATTCTGGAACAACATTGTACGTTTGTTTCGGGGCGCCATGGGCGCACAATTTGTGTTTTAGGATGACAACGCCCGTCCTCACCGTGCAAACAATCGTAAGCGAATGCCTTCAATCGGAGGATATCACCCGTATGG